CACTTCAACACCAGTCTGATTCCAGCTCAGCAAAGACCTCACTGCTGTTGTAGGAAGCCATTTCAACCCGTGTCAGAATGGGGTAAGCATCCTCCATAAGTCCTCAGCCCCTGGTGCTTCCCTCCACCCAGACCTTCAACTGTCCCTGGGCTTGTCACCACCCCACAGCTCCTGCTTCTCTCAGCTTCTTGAGGGCAGCGTGTTTATCTCCTATTACTAAACTGAATACCCAGTGCAGACGTTTAATATGTGTTAATATATTGGCTAGTTCATTAGATCCTCCCAAATCCTCTCTGATTAAGGGGCTAGAAAAAGTTTTATTTGCTTCATTCAGTAAATAGGCAGCTGCAACTAGTGAGGAACAGAACTTAAACTAAAATCTGAAATTGAGACCAGTGCTCTCTCTACTATTCTCTCTCTCTGCCCTCACTTTGCCATGGTTACACACACACACACACACCACTGTGAATGAATTCTAGGTCAAGTTAAGATGTTAGCCAGATATTCCAACCACTGTGCTGATATGACTCTAAACAAGTTTGAAAAGCATTTTGCAAGACATTTATGGGAGTAAGAGATATGTTTTTATTTAACCACCAGAACCTCCATAAAAATTGAGACTGTTATTTCTGGAGATTCCAGAATTTCCTTTGAAAGTATCCCCCCTAACTCGAAAGAAAGTCTGATGCAGCCTCGTAAATATCTATGTTGTAATAGGTGCTGTGTCACTGAGAACCACTGAAACGGCAGGGTTAAGAGCACAAAAGTGGCGGCAAACCATATATGGCGAAACCCATTTCTTTAAACTTGTGATGAACTCAAGTTCTGCTTTCCATTTTCTCAAAGCTGAAATCAGCCACGCTTTGTCAAACTGAGAGAGGCACACTCATTCAGAACCTTCACTGGCTCCGGTTTCCAGCCTCCGAGGGCTCCATGCCAGACAGACCGAGCATGCGGGCCACACTTGCCATGACAGCCTGGATGGTTTCCTTAGTTTCCAGCTATGAAAACACAGCAATTAGTTTGCCAGGTATCGAAAATGAAGATTTCATCAAAGACTGTGTTCGATTTCATAACAAGTTCCGATCAGAAGTGAATCCAACAGCCAGTGATATGCTATACATGGTAAGGAAAATATCAGTATTCGTGATAGAAGTAAGCTAACGTGTGTTGATTTTAGAGGTCAGTCCTTGCTAATCCTAAATGCCTTTTTGTTCCCATTGTGATTAACGTGTGCAGTAAATTCACAATCTGTGATCAAAACGAATCCGGTTTAGCTCTGTTGACTCATCTTTTCTAAGCAAGCTCAGCAAGTACATTTTACTCCTTTTAAATGCTTCCTTTCCTCTGGTCAGAAAATGTTACTTTTTTTTTTTTTGTCCCTTTCTTCCCTGTTAATTTTTTGAGGGCTTTTTTTGTTTGTTTATCTCTAAGTTTACTTTTCTGTTGTTGCTGGCAGAGCATATTGACTTTCTCTGGAAGGCAGCATGGCATCTCAGGAAAGGATAGGATTTTGAATCAGTCAGGCATGGGTTTGAATGCCGGCTCTGTGGCTGTGAGCTGGTTTTTAATCTTTCTGAGCTCCTCAGGATAGGGGCTGTTGTGTTTATTAAATTATATATACCATGTGAAACACAGCCTTAAGTATTCTGCACATAACAGGCCCTCAGTGAAATGCTGATCTGTGTCCCTCATTTAGATTCTAAATTCCACAAAACAAGATCATCAAGTTTCCCAGTGGTCTTATTCAACACTGGGAGACCACACGTACAGGGAGGACCCTTCTCTATTCAGTCATCGCCATTATAATGCCTCATTCCCCCCTTCAAATTCTCACTTTGCTCATTCCAGTTACATTTTTTGGTAACAGTGTTCATTCTTTTTGAAAGAAGCTTTACTCAGGAGGCCGGCCACCTGATGAGAAGGCAGACTCTGGTCCAAAAGCCAGCTCCACGGTTTCTGCCTAGCCAAGAAGGCTTTAAAGGGACTGGGCGTGGTTAATTAGGGAGGGGGTGCGGTGGCCTGTAACGTTTCCTGATTCCGGGTAGGTTCAGTGGTGCCTCTTTACAGCTTTCAGTGCCTGGCGGTTGAGCAAGAGGTCTAATTCCTGTCTGTGATGGGTGAGGGCTTTCTGTTCTCTCATTAACTGTATGATGCCACATAACCCTCTGGTCATCAGTTCCTCATCTTCCAGTGTCTGTACTGATCCCTCTCCAAATCTTTTTCCTCATTGTAGTTGAAATATCTTTACAAAACCCAATTTTCATTCTCGACCCTCTTACTGTTTAACGTTTCTTTTTGCAGACTTGGGACCCAGCACTAGCGCGAGTTGCACAAACATGGGCAAGAAACTGTCAGTTTGTACACAACGTTCAGCTGCATTCAAGCTACAAGCTACATCCAAATTTCTCCTCTCTGGGAGAAAACATCTGGGCTGGGTCTCTATCTCTGTTTTCTGCATCTTCAGCCATCACAAACTGGTACGATGAAGTTCAATACTACGACTTCAGGACTCAGAAATGCACCAAAGTCTGTGGCCATTACACTCAGGTAAGTATCTGCCTACTCCGTATTCTCTTGAAACTATCTCTTCAAAGGCAAAGAGAAAACTGGAATCTGGTGTTAAGAAAATATAGAGTAAGCTGGTGTGCCTGTACATGTCAGAGAGTAGAGCTTACAAGCTTACCTAAAAAAATAAAAAAATGGAGCAGACTTCAATAGCAGAGGGGGTGGTGCTTGAAGAGGTTAGTTATGTGTTTAAACGCAAAAGGTGAGGCTCACCAATCTGGACAGACTTTGAGTATTTTGGTAACAGCTGCCTGCCTGGGGCACTTTGTTCCATTTGTAAGCAATCAGAGGACTTTATGAGTGAATGGATTTCAGGTATGCGTCCTCTATAAAATTTGAGGCAGTTGATTGGGGTCTATAAAATTGGGAGAAACAAGCCTCTCAGACAGAAGCATCAATTCCATAGCCTCCTATTCCTTCAAACATGAACCGAGAGCCTGTGATGGGTCACACAAGGAAGAGAAAAACAATGGTGAGGCTAACATGTAAACTTGTGTAAACCATTCTGTGGCTATTCTGCCCCCATTGAGATTTTTTTTTTTTTTTTTTTAAACTCAGGTTGGTTTTGGTTTCCTAACCCTAAGGCATGTTTGCAACGTGATGTCAACAAGTCCCTAGGGTAGCATGTCTATTGTCTTACTATCCTGCCTCCTGATCCTGGTCACATTTCATTTATTTACTTTTCTTCCTGGCAGTCCTTGTCAAGCCAATAAGTAAGGGTGCTGAACCTATGTCTGACTGCTTCTTATATACAAAAATTCGCTGAAGTGAGGTATGAGGGTACAAACATTTCTAACAAGGCAGTTAACTTGGAATAATAGATGTTTTTAAAGAGCAAAATGTTGTTGGAAAATGTCTCAGGGCAGCTCAGCCTCATAGAGCCTCTGATCGCGCTGGTGTTGTTACAGGTGAAACAAGTTTGGCACAGATATTTACTATCATGATGTGAGGGGAAGGGCGGATTTCAGTGAAATTTTCATCTCTAGATTATTATAGGCAAGAATGAGCTATCAAACCACCAGCAATATTGGTCCCTTTCTTGAAAATATGAGTTAGGTTTCCCCTAGACTTATCCCATAAACAATTAATCTTGGCTTATGTTTACAAAAAATTTTAACGAGAAAAGTGATTCCATCAGAATCCCACAAGTCCTAGAAGGCAAGAAAGCTAAATCCAGTTTGCCCACAAGCGACACTGGTACCATTAACCATTGCACTGTTTAAATTTTTTTTTAAGTTTATTTATCTATTTTGAGAGAGAGACAGCATGAGCAGGGGAGGGGGAGAGAGAGAGAGAATTCCAAGCAGGCTCCACACTGTCAGCACAGCCTGATAGGGGGCTTAAACCCATGAAACCATGAGATCATGATCTGAGCTGAGATAAAGAGTCGAACACTTAACCGACTGAGCCACCCAGGCGCCCCAACATTGCACTGTTTTAAGTCTCCAAAAATAATTGTCAGTTTGAGGGTACGGACTTTCATTCAGTCAGTGTTTAAGCTTCTATCATATGCCAGGCACTGTGTAAGGCACTCACTGATCATATGTCTTAGTGCAGATTCCTGCAAAACAGAGCCTGGAACAATAGCTTATGTCCTACCGCTTTATTTTTTTAATGTTTATTTATTTTGAGACAGAAAGCACACAAGTGGGGGTGTGGGGCAGAGAGAGGGGGGAGAGAAAATCCCAAGCAGGGTCTCTCCTGTCAGCACAGAGACCTGTGTGGGGCTCTACTCATGAATCAAGAGATGGTGACCTGAGCCAAAATCAAGAGTGGGATGCTTAACCAACTGGGCCACCCAGGTGCCCCAGTCCTAACACTTAATTGAGGAGTACCATCACCAAGAAGTAAAAGTGAGGAGAAATGGGGGTGGTGCAAGGAATGAGGGACACAGATGGCAATGACCCCTGACCTTTAGGAATTGACCTTCTTTGGGGAGAGACCAATGTGTAAGTGGCTGTAATACAATGCATTGTTGGTGTAATTTGGAGAAACTGACAAGTTGCTATGTGAGCAAAGAGGGCAGAGCAACTTATCTGGCCAAAGGGGGGTATGGAGACATAGGAGTTATTTACACAGCAGGAGCCATATCACTTGGTTCTTGAAAACTAACGGAGAGCTTATCAAATGAAAAAGAAAAGGAGAAGAACTCCAGGCAAAACTGAAAAGGGGTACAAGGTAGACAGAGTGTACAAATGAGCCTTGTACTTCAGAAGCATGGCTAGTAGCTCACCACAACAAATATGCAAAGATCTAAAGACTGTCATATTGGCCACAGACTCCTGAACCATGCAGTTAAGACACTCCATGTCCATCCTTCCAGGGACTCAAAACAAGAGGAGGAAACTTGATTTTACATCCATCACATAGACCTGAGATTTCAGAGATGGCCCTCCCCAAATTAGCTGGGCTTATTTGTAAATGTTCCCTTTCAATATAGGACAAAAAGAGGAGAGCTAACATTTCAGATATGAGAAAATTCATTTCCTTACATACAGGTATCAGAGCCCAAGCTGAGTGATCCCTAATCTGCTCTCGCAAGGAGACCACTACATTCTACCCCCAATTCTGAAAAGCAAGCCTTTTCCTGGAGAGGAAGTCCAGGGACCCCCTGGGTCTGACATAATGCATCCACAGCAACCATTTTTTAAAAAAATGTTTATTTATTTTTGAGAGAGTGCAAGCAGGGGAGGGGCAGAAAGAGAGGGAGACACAGAATCCGAAGCAGGCTCCAGGGCCTAAGCTGTCAGCACAGAGCCAAATGGGAGGCTGGAACCCACAAACCATGAGATCACGACCAGAGGTTTAACCAACTGAGCCACCTAGGTACCCCCGCAGCAACCACTTTTAAGTGAGTGTGGTACTCAGCTCTCCGTGGTTAAAGAAACCATTCAAATCTTATCACAAACCTGTCAGAGAACCACTATCATCCATAGATGAGACAACAGGCTCAGAGAAGTTAGGAAGTTGTCTTCCCACATCTTACGTGCCCACTTGTGTAGACCTAACCTCAGCTGGTCCACCTTAGACCCCCTGAAAACAAACCCTAGTCCCCCTGCATGGTCCCATTTCTGCTCCAACAAGATGAGAGAAACTATCATGAACCGGGAGAAACAAGCCAAACTAAAAGCATAAATATGCATTGGTGGGAAAGGAACTGTCCACCTAAAGAAGAAGGTGATTCTGGGGTGCCCGAATGCTCAGTCTGTCTACAGCTCAGGTCATGATCTCAGTTCATGAGGTGGAGCCCCACTTGGGGCTCTGTGCTGTCAGCACAGAGCCTGCACGGGATCCTCTGTCTCCCTCTCTCTGCTCCTCTCCCCCCACTTCAAAAATAAATAAACATTAAAAAAAGAGAAGAAGGTGGTTCATAGAACCACTACAGCAGATGATAAAAAACTTCAGTTCTCCTTAAAGAAGTTAGGGGTGAATGCTATCTCCGGTATTGAAGAAGTGAATATGTTCACAAACCAAGGAATGGCGATCCACTTCCATGAGCCTAAAGTTCAGGCATCTGGGGCAGTAAACACTTTCACATTCCAGGCCATACTGAGACCAAGCAGCTGACAGAAATTCTGCCCAGTATCTTAAACCAACTTGGTGCAGTCTGGCTAGTTTGGGAAGACCAGCTGAAGCTCTGCCCACACAGTCCCTGGACAGAAAAGCACCACTCGCTACCGGAGAGGAGGAGGAGAATGAAGTTCTAGATCTTGTGGAGAATTTTGATGAAGCTTCCAAGAAGGAAGCAAACTGAACGGAGTCAACTTCTGAAGACAGAGCTTGAAGAAGTTACTGGGAGCTGCTATTTTGTACTATGACTGCTTTTTAGCATTCTGTTCATGGATCTGATAAAATCTAGATCTCTAATATTTTTAAGCCAAAGCCCCTTGGACAGCGTAGCGTTGTTTAGTTTTTGCTTATACACAATTCATTCTTTGCAGCTAATTAAGCTGAAGAGGCCTGAGAATAAAGTTTGAAACAAGGTTAATAAAGTTTTTTTGCCAGGGTGCTTGGGTGGCTCAGTCAGTTGGGCGTCTGACTTCAGCTCAGGTCATGATCTCACAGTCTGTAAGTTCGAGCCCCGTGTCGGGCTCTGTGCTGACAGCTCAGAGCCTGTTGGCTGCTTCAGAGTCTGTGTGTGTGTGTGTCTCTCTCTGACCCTCCCCTGTTGATGCTCTGTCTCTCTCTGTCTCAAAAATAAACATTAAAAATAAAGGTTTTTGGGGCGCCTGGGTGGCGCAGTCGGTTAAGCGTCCGACTTCAGCCAGGTCACGATCTCGCGGTCCATGAGTTCGAGCCCCGCGTCAGGCTCTGGGCTGATGGCTCAGAGCCTGGAGCCTGTTTCCGGTTCTGTGTCTCCCTCTCTCTCTGCCCCTTCCCCGTTCATGCTCTGTCTCTCTCTGTCCCAAAAAATAAATAAACGTTGAAAAATAAATAAATAAATAAAGGGGTTTTTTGCCTAGTTAAAAAAAAAAAAAAGAAGAAGAAGGATTTGTTTGCCCAGTGTCACAAAACTAATAAGAGGAAGAGCTGGGATCCAGATATCGGGTATATTGTAAGGATTAAGTAATGGAATGTCTGTAAGTTATAATAAAATGCTGCTACTTAGGCATTAAACAAAGGTTAGATCTCCTCCATGAGCTGGTTTTCTGCCAATTATATAGGAAGAACACTTTGACAGCTTGGTTAAAGATGCCTTTACATTAAAATTTGATGTTTTCATCCTTGTAAGAAATCTTACTGGGAGATTCAAGACTACTCAGTTGCCATTGTAAATTCTTGCTAGAAATTACCTCAAGTGGCTATTATAATAGCCCACTTATCCTCATCTTCTATTAATAAAAACAAGCTATTTTCAGACTTTGGCTGGTGAGGGGTGGTTGTACAGAGTAAAGATAATAGATTTAGATCCAATCATTATCTCCTAAAGATGTGATATTTCTTGACACATGAGGTCCACACTTTAGCTTTGTGTTCACTAG